CCACCACACCCAGCATTCCAATTTCTATAAGGAGCTCTGTGTAGAAATTCTGGTATTTGCCCTGTTTAAAAAGTAGCACTATACTATAATACTGAAAATACAATAGTTAAGAACACTGTGGGACATCGGTATAGGAAAGAGAAAGGCAGCCTCAAGACTTCTTCTGAAAGTAAGAGACACACTATAAGATACAAGGTATGCATCTCTCTGAAGGCAGTTGTTTAAGTTCAATGCATTTCCTATTTCTGTTAGAGTCTAAGAAAATATCTAACAAAAGGAAGCTTTTAAGAAACTGATTTTAAAATTTTCACACTTAGAATTCTTTCACATTAAAAAATGAATATATGGCATACTGGTTCAAAGATTTCCCTCAATAACCCTGAGACATCACCCCACAAATAGAAACTTCACTGAAAACAACAAATTCTCTAGCAGTTTGTTCCAGCACTAGTCTTTAAACACACAATTTCTAACTGAGAAGGGTGCAGTCTGCCTCTGCTATTCTTTCTTCCATAACTTCTACAAATTATAACTTTCCTCATAGAGAAACCAGTTGGGGACACATATGTTTTATTTCACAGTGATTCTCAGGAGTGGCTCATGTGGGGCAATACACTTCAGTGAAACTGAAGACATAAACTTTTCCTCCAAAGAGATTGGCAGTACTATGGTTATGGTCGACATGCTTCTGTGGCCCAAGTTCTCCAGTGTTAAAACAAAATAAAGATATTAGCTTATGCGTCACTCTCAGAGAAAGATAGTTAGAAGTTAAAGTTGTAATTAATCAATTTGTGCTCTTTGGTATGGACAGGAGAAGAGTGGGTGTGATAGGTAGACAAATGTAGCACTCTCAGTGAAGGTCTAGGTCAATATTGTCAATCTCTATGAGGACGTGATAAACAGAAGCAAGAGATCTAAGCAGCAGCACACACTGCTAGGTGAAATGGAAGAAAAGCCTGTGACTTATGAAAATTGTGGAAACTATTTCTCTATACAGTAGTTTAAAATAAATTCTTATTTCATTTGGATGTGGATGTGTTCACATAATGGCAGAATATATTCTGAGGAGCACTTCCAACTCTTGTTTTATTTCAATATATTGGCTAAAAAGGTTGAAAGCATTCAACATTATTTATATTCAAATAATTTCAAACAAAAATGGCCATTTCCCCTTGCAGAGGAGTCATTATTGCAGTAATAGAGAATGTTTACTTGATGTGTAATCAGCTAATAACCATGGCTTAACTGTTTATTAAAGCTGTTTAAGGTGGTATGATACAGCTTGTTTGTAGAAATATCTCTGAATATCTGAACATACGACAATCTCTACCAAATACTGCTCAGCATTCATGGGCTATCTCTCCTATTTTACTTAGAAAAATGGTGTAAGGATTTTTATGCAGATACAAGATCTCACAACCCAGGGATACTTCTGGGTTAAACCAGCTAAAATGGGGCACTGCACTGACCCAAGCAGACAGGGCACAAACTTCCTCTTTCAGATTTCAGCCACTTCTACCTTACAGAAGAATTAAGCTTAAAAGATATACTAATTAATATCTGTCACCGTGCATCTCTTCTGTAAAAATCAACAAATAAATGGTACTAAAATGAAGAGCCACAGACTCCTTATGCTCACCCCCCTCTTCTGTCCCACTTCCTTCCCTTTCACCCCCATACCCCTTCCCATCACTCTGGAGTGGCTGGGCTTCCCGAGCACACCAGGAACCCCACGCTGCTGGACAGTACTCACTGGCTCCTCTGCCGCAGAAGTCCTGCCTTTTCCTGAGAAAAATCACACTCACCCTCCAAGACTCAGCTTAGCACCACCTCCTCCGGGAAGTTATTCTTGATGCTCCAGCTCACCACCAGAGGACAACAGAGTTTGTCACCATTAAGGTGGACAGTCCACTTGATTGGCCTGGGAGCTACCCAGTGGGTTCATAAAGCACACTTCGTGCAGCGCTGACCATGGAGTCTAAATCTGGGGCCCTGTCCCTTCTCTGGTGCTGTGCCTTGCTCTGTTTGCTGGCCCCCATGAGGTGAGCAGCTTGGAGCTGACCGACCAGACACTGAACCCTCTGGAATTATGACACAAGTAAACCGTTTGCTCCCTCAGCTGTGGGTGTCGGGTATTTGATCCCAGTGAGAGGAAAGCTAATGCATCCTCTCTGTGATGTGCTCTGGCTTCTGGGACCCTGTTTCTATTGTAGTAATTTTCTCACACCAGACTCTAAAACTAAGTCCACTTTCTAGTTGCATCTGTTTCCCAGGACCTCCTCCAGAGCCTAGAGCGCAGGAGGTCTCAGAAACATGAGTGACACGTTGTGACAGTGAATCTTCATTGTCACCTTGACTGGATAAAGACACCTACGAGTCAGTGGAGCATGATTCTGAGTGTGCCTGTGGAGGCATTTCCAGAAATGGTTGGCAGTAGGCCAGCAAACTGGGGGAGTAAGACCACCCTGATTGTGGGTGACACTGAGCAGTGGGCTTGTAGCCTGGATGGAGTGAAAAGGAGAAGAAAGAGAAGTTGGCTTGTGCAAAAAGCATGACTCTCCTTGAGCAGGTCACCTGTGGACGTGGGACTCCAGCTTCTGCCTTTCCACGTGGACTCACACCAGTGACTCTCAGGGAGATTCCAGGCCTTCAGTGTGGACTGGTGCTGCAGCCTTGGCCTCTCTTGTTCTGGTTCTTCCAAGAATGGAGAAGCTCTCCTACATGCAGACGGTCACTGGGGACGCTCCAACCTCTGAGCTCACAGGCCTAGCTAATAGCATCTCTTGCATAATTATATATAGATTCTATTCCTGGAAAATATATAGTAATATATATCAGATATTATACATATATATAGAGAGAGAGAGAGAGACAGACAGACAGACAGAGACAGAGACAGAGACAGAGACAGAGAGAGACAGAGAGAGAGGTTTACTTCTGGAGGCTGGAAAGACCAAGATCAAGGTCAGTTGATTGTGTTCCTGCTGAGGGATCTCTTTCTGGCTATGCATGTGCTGGAGACAGTGTCTCTTCCTCTTCTTATGAGGGTACTCCACATCTTAGACTAATTATCTTCCAAAAGCCTCACACCAAAATATCACACTATTGAGGATTAGGACTTCAACATAATAAATTTTGGAAAGGTGCAAATATTCAACCCATGAGACTTCTTCCATCACTACCCAGAAAATTATTGCCCCATGTTGCTGCTGCAAGTATTGAAGTGTTATTGCTGTTACTAAAATTATAGTTCTCTAGTCATTGGAAATGCCCTCTATCTATATCTGTATCTATCTATACATACAGATACAGGTATAGATAAATATATATATCGGCATTGGAAAAGAAAAACAAGCACAACTTACAAAAACATGTTTTTTTAAAGGCATTAGAATGAGTTCTTCACCAGGTCTATAAAAAGTGAGTAATATTTTCACCCCTTAAATTTGCAAATGATAAAATTAAGAGGTACCTGCATTTGGAAGAAAATTGTTATAGGAGCACAGAAAAATGGGTAAGACTATATACAATTTTTAATAAGCCATAGTCATACAGCCAAGTGGGCTCTTACCTCTACTCCATACAGCAATTTTCCAGTTAAGCTCCACACAGAGGAAGAACTTGTGACCGATCAGTGCAATTTCTAGGAGTAAAGCTAGGAGGCAGTGTCTACACCCTAACCAGTGAGAGGCATGGAGGAGGGGTGGACTTCACGAGAATCACGCAGTGTCAAGCTATTGCCTGAGTGCAATGGTTTCTAAGACTGTTTTGTGTAGAATCAGCCTCAGTCTGTGCAGCAGGATCATGTCCATTTGCAGCTTAAACCGACTTTTTGTTGCGTATTTAGCATTAGTTGCACAACCCTCTTATTTTCTCAGATGTGCCCCTTCCTAACTCCTAATCTTCACTTCTTATTATCTATCGGCATTTTCTTGTTATTCCCTCAAAGCCTAATTTTCTACATTGCAATGATTAATTCTGTGTGTCAACTTGGGTAGACCATGGTACCTACCTATTTGTCTAAAAGAAATCAGTCTGAATATGCTCACCAAGGTAAGTTTCAAATGTGATTGATGTTCAAATCAGTAGACTTTGAGTAAAGCAATAGCCCTCAATGACGTGCATGGGTCTCACTCAATCAGTGGAAGAGTTCAGAGAAAAGATCACCCTACCCTGAGGAAGAGAAGGACCTTCCAGGATTCCTTCAGACTCCAAGTGTAACCGCAGCGCTTTTCCTGATCTCCAGCTTCCTGGCCTCCTTGCAGAACTCAGACTTGCCATTCCCAATCACATGACCCAATACCCCAAATTCCCCAATTCTTTCAATCAATCAATCTCTCTTTCTATACACACATGCACGCATGCATGCATACCCTTCTTCTTTTTCTCTGGAAAACTCTTGACTAATACATTCATTTTCAAAACCTCTGTCTGTTTATTTTTATCACACTAGTCTTCACCCTTGGCTTTACAGTAGGGATTGTGCCCACTGGTGCTTAAACTCCCCGAAGGCAGCACCGGATCCTGGTCCCCTCCCCTGTCCAACAGCGTGGTACAGTGTGCTGCATTCAGAATGCATACAACAAACACTGCAAGTGGATCCAGACTGAATAGAATGGGAAGAAAGAAGTCACAAGAATTCAGTCACTTGACAACTGGTGTTTCTGCTTTCCTAAACCCTGCAAGGGGTAACTATAACACAGTAAAAGCGTATAGACTGATGGTTTGGAAATCTCTAATATCTGCGGTCTTCAAGTAAACTTTGAAATAAATCCACTAGAATAGAGCAGCGTACATAGTACACTCTAAGGGTTTCCTAGTGGTTCCTCAGAGGAAGAAGAAAGCCTGACAGGATCCCAAAATGGCTGAAATGGTCTGAATCTAGTTCTTCTACCCCTCCCTCCTTAGCAGGTCTATTTTTATTAATTTCCCATGTCATATTCCATTTCAAAAAGCAAAGCACTCAAATGCTTGAAAGAAAAACTTTAAAAACCACCAGGCTAGATGATCTCGCAGTTTGCATCTCATTCTAAAACTCTAACATTGTTTTATTTTGTTTTTTTGTTTTTCTTCCAGTACCAGGAATCAAACTCACGATCTTGCACTTGCCAGGCAGGCGCTTTTGCCACTGAGCTAAATCCCCAGCCCCTAAAACTCTAACATTGTTTTGCAGCTGGCTTGCAACCTTAATTTTTTTCCTGAAGAATTATTCTTGCCTGAAATATCTTAATCCAGGCTTGCTCAGACATGAGGTAGACAGGGGTCTTATTTACAAGAATGAGCATTACCAGGGAGGTACCTCAAATTTGCTGGTGCTGTGGTTCAAATACAAATCGTCTCCTCCTGAATTTGAAGTGGGATTCCAGATGGAATGGCATTGAAGAAGGTGGGACCTTCAGAAGCATTTGGGCTACAAGAAACCCAGACCATGGTGCTGGGTTAATTCTCACAGAAAGAAGTGAGTTCTCGCTGTTCGAGGACTATTCGCTGCTAAGAAAGCAAACTGTGATAAAGCATGGCTGCCCCCAATTTCCATGTGGTCTGCAAGTGAGCACTGATCTTTCTGTATTAGGAGGCAGCAGGAGACCGTCCACAGAAGCTAAGCCAAAACTCCACCATGCTGTTGGTCTTCCCAATCTGCAGAACACTGAGATAGTACACCTCTTCTTTATAAATTACTCAGTCTCAAGTGTTCTGTTATAGCAACAGAAAATGACTAAGACAGTGGTTATGGGCAGAAAGATAGCCCCAAGAGGATGGCTGGATACTCCACAGCACACAACTCATACACAAAAGGTCATACCAGAGTGGCCACTCTAAAAGGTCTGCCCTTGAGGACTGGAAGAGGGAAGTCTCCTGTTGTGATCCCAATTTGGGGGAAAAGATTATTCTCAGCAGGAACTCTGACTAGGAGATTGAAGTAGCAAGAATGCTATGGCTCACTAGGACCCAGCCAAGGCAGCTGGAATTACAGAAAGATTCCTGGATAAGCAAGGAACCAGTGGGCTATAAGAGGAGTACACGGCAGGGTCCAGACAGGGGTAGAGTCAAGGCAAAAACAAGGAGATAGGATGTGGTTTGGAAATCACCTTACCTTTCAGGATTCTGAGAAAAGATCATTTTCAGATTCCAACAGCTAGTTTTGGTTGGACTTCCTGCTTTAACAAGATGGGTTTATCCTTGGCTGAAATGCAAGAGGAGGTGTCAGTGATTCGTGCTGAAAGAGGAAAGCATGAAGAATATTTAAAAATGAGTGGGAGGTGATAGTGTCCAGAACATGGGAAACATAATCTCACCACATGCTGAGTTAAGTCAGGTCGCATCTGAGAATTAATTCCAGCAAGCCTGGATCTGGCCTGAGCTGTTTTGCTGACATAAGAGATGGATCCAGGTGGCTCTGCCCCCTGGTCAAGGTATGACATGCTCTGACTAACAGACTTGTTTTCTGAACATGAGTTTGAGGCAAATTTCAGGGTGCTTTTACCAGCTTGTCAGCATTGTTCATTGGTAAGAGTGAATGAGATTGATGATCTGTACCTGGTCTTGGTGGGTTCCCCAGAGAGCTGTACCATCAGATCTGGTTACAAGCCTACGTGACCAGCAAGGGATCAGAATCCCCAACCATAAATCCATTTGGGGCACACTGGTTCTGAGATGCTATCTGTACATGACTCTAGGTGAGAAAGCATGGCTAGAATGATACTTATAGGGCAACATAAGGTTGACCCACACTCTGCAGACCCTTGGCTATCGGACAACTTTTGGCTAGAATATAGCTCTTTATTTTAGTACTGTTATGCTCTATCTTTTTGCCTAAATAAAGAGTGCGTTCATAAGTATTGTCATTTTAGGTTCTGCAAATCTCCCTCAAGTAGTGGAACACCATCAGTGTCACCATTACCACACATGGGAACCAAATTTTAGAAAGAATTGAGTCCAAAATGGAGACCAAAATGAGAATCATCTGAAATCTTGCCACAAGGAAGACATCAAAGAAGCAGTGAGGCTTCATTTGGAGCAAGAGTCGGAAAAATGGTACTAGGTGATAGCATTTCATCTGTCTGTGTCTCGCTGGACTCAGACTGTATTAATAATTTTTCACATATCTCTAGAAGGCAAAAACATGGAAGTAGAAAGCGTTGATGCTGTTATAACTGAAATGGGCTGTTTCATAAGATTTTACAAGCTTTGAGACATTGGAATAGAGCCTTTCCAGTGTGTGCAGACAGTGTTATTGTCTTCTTTATGAAATTAGACACAATGCTTTCAACATTCCCTTCCAGTGTGAGTATCTGATAATTCTAAGATTGTAGAGAGCGTGGGTAAGAAGAGCCTCCAATGCAATGATTCTTTAATTTACCCCTTGTACCTTTGTGGTGTCTTCCTTACTCCGTATGTCTGAGCTCACTGGGCTCAGGGCAGATTACAACCCCCTCCCTGCCCCTTGACAAAAGAGGGCATCCAAGATTCAATCAAGTCTTTAAAAACACACCCGAATCAAAGCCTTATTTCCTTACACATTTTCTCTTGATTAATATAAGAAGGAAAAAAGGGAAAGTGATAGAGGATTAGCACCACTTCTGGGCTGGCTGTTGAGAGTGGAATGATGCACTCAGGAAATTAATTCGATGGAAGAGTGCCGGGCAGTGCAGGCAGAGACTTGGGTAGCTGCCCATCCACATCTAGAGGGCCCCGGGCGCCAGCCTGATTCCCAGAGGAGCAGCACAGCAGTGGCTCCCCCTGGGGTCAGACCCGAGGCTCCTTCGCTGCAGTGAGGCAGCTTCTCCCAATGCACCCCAAGTACCCTGCACGCAGAGGTGAGGGGAGGCTGGTCCAGCTCCACCTGCGGCCCAAGAACTGCAGCTCTCCAGGGCAGTGGGTGGGGAAGCAAATAGCAACCACTGAGTCCCGGGACCTGAGAGCACTCTGAAGTCAGTTCCACGGGAGAGGCCAGGTCTCTCAAGACCTTCGGGGACAGTGGAGCGCACCCAGGGAGGCCAACTTTGCCCGCAGGCTGGTGGCTGAGCAGCTCAGGGTGCCGAGTGAGCTGTGGCAGCGAACGCCCACACTCTGCCTCCCTCGTAATTCAAGAAAGAGTAGGGGCTTTTCGCCTCAAAACCACTTGGAGTAAAACACAGTCCGCCCAATAGGTTCTGACTCCACCCCAAGCAGCTCCTGGCCCAGAGGGGCGTCTACGCAGGAAGTCGGGCTTTGGAGGAAGCCGAGAGGCAGGGGCAGCCTCCCCGCCCCCATCCCGAGTCCCGTCCATCCCGGCCTAGCACTTCATAAATAAACCAAAGAGGAAAACTCTCCTCCCTCGCAGCTCAGCCAGTGAGGTGTATATGGCTTTCGCAGATCCAGAACACTTATCTCAAGCTGGGAGTGTAATTTCACGGTAATAATTTGCTTCAAGTGTTGCTGATTGCTTCCTATTCCTCCCCGTTAATGACTGTCACACCTTTCCCGTGCTCCTCTGTGCGCAGCCGTGGCAATTACGCCAAGGAGGCTGCTGAGAAACGCGGGGCTTTTCAGTAGGAACTGAGCTGGAACTACGCTGAACACCCCAAAGGTTTAAAAAGTCCCCTTCACACAGGGTGCTCCTATTTGGGGGGAAAGTTCTTCAGCTTCTGCCAGCGCGTGTCCTGGTCTGGTCTCTGCCGTCTGCAGTGCACGTTCCTGCTGCAGCTGAGGGACCAGAACTTGCCTGCTTCAATCCCCGCCTCCGAGGCTCCTGGAGAGGCGTGGTGAGGAAGGCCTGGGTTGGAAGCGAAGGGAGCGCATCTCTGCAGGCCGGAGGTCCAGGAGAGAATGGCTCGGAAAGTGGCTTCGCAGCCTGAGGGTCATTGGAAGGCCTCTGGATCTGCACTGTTAAAGCTGTTCCTGACTGCAGATTTTGAAGTATTTTCTTCCCTACTGGCAATGACTTCCAATTTGAAGGATGAATCTGCTTTTTCCATATTTTACGGAGAAAAAAGTAAGGAACATGTTCCTCATGTCACCAAGGAGCGTAGTGCTTGAAAATACAGAAAGAAGCTCTCACCGCCAAGCAGCCCTGTGTCCCTCCCCGCCTCTCAGCCTGCTGTCTTCCCTGTTTCAACCCATCTGTTCTTCCCATTCATGCTCCCGCTTCCAGCCAGGGCCATTCATCTTCTCTTTCCTTTAGATCTCATTCATAGGCGAGCCCCTTCGCTCATCTCCCACTCGGTCCTTCTCCCACAGCCAGGGCAGCTCTGGGGTCAGGGCACAGACAGCGACCCCACGTGCTCCTCAGCCCCCTCGGCCTAGGCTCCCGTCCCAGCCCGAATGAAGAGCTGAGATCTAAGACACTGCACACGCGTCAGCCCCACCGCACCAGTCCGAGCTCTGAGTCACCGCCGCGTTGATCCCTCAATGACAAACCCACCTGAGGATGGGGACACCTGAAACCAGACCAGGAAACGTTTGTGCAGGAGGCAGGGAACTTGATCTGCACAGCTTTTATCAGTTGCTTGGGTTCTCATTAAAAACAAGGACAAGTCCTAACTCCTAAAACACAGTGTTCTCCACACCCAAGTCACTCATCCTAAAATACAGCATGAGAGTAATTTGCTGGCGCTGTCATCCCAAGATGCCTATCTCTTCTTTTTTCTTGCACTTTCTGGAAGGGTTTCTCCAGTGTTTTCCTGTCCTGCATCCTGTTAAAAAAGAAAGTGTCTTCTGCAGCCACATGCCATGGAGGAATGGGTCATCCCAGCTTGTTGCATGGTCACAAACAATCACCCTCACCAGGTATAGATTCCATCCATTCATTCTTCCAGCCACTATACACAAGGTGCCTACTGCATGCCGCACATTGTTCTGGGTGCTGAACTTCATCCATGACACCTGCTTTCACAGGCTTCCACTTGAGAGGTGGGTGGGAGGACAGTAAAGATGGGAATGCCTGCCTGGCGCAGCACCTGCTGGCAGGTGCAAGGTCATGAGTTCCACTGCGGGTACAAAAAAAAAGATGGGAAGTGAATGGCCTGTGCGTTAGAAGACTGCTGAGAAACTGAGTGAGGTGATCAGTATGGAAGCAGTGGCACGACAGGATTGCCAGAGAGGACCTTCCCTAGGAAGAGATATTGGAGCCAAGACTCAGAGAAGGGGAGAGAGTTACCCAAGCAGATGTCCGGAGAGAGCACTGCAGAAGAGCTGCAGCCAACACCTCTGCCAAGAGCAATCCCGCTGTGGTCCAGGGCAGCAAGGAGCCCACGGGGCAGGGTGTGAGCGAGAGGCAGGGAAGGAAAGAGGTCAGAGGCGCGAGGGGCTTTCTGAGCTTGGGTTTTAACGCAGAGCAAATTGCAGAAAACTTTTGAAGGTTGTTAGAGAAGTCGAATAGCCTGACTGCCAGTTAAAAAGGGTCACTCTGGATACCCTGGTGAAAATACACTGAGTGTGTGTGTGTGCACGCGCGTGCATGCACACGCACGTGTGTGCACCCGTGCCGGGGTGGGAGCAAGCAGGGAGGGGCACTGGAACTCTGCCCCTGGTAGCAGAGGTACACAGGCAAATGACTCTGATTCTGGATGAATCCTGAAGGCGCAGCGGGTGGGATTTTTCTGACAGCGGGCTGTGAAATGAGAAAGATGCGTGCAGGATGCCATGGAGGTTTTGTGGTCTCAGCAGCTGTAAAGAAGGAGTCTCCGTCCCCTGAGATGGCCAGACAGCAGGTGGAGAGGCTGAGAGTGGGGACTACACGTTTAGTTTAACATCCCTGGGTGGAATAGATTCCTCTCAGTTTGTGACGACTACACCACGTCACCATACTATTACGTGCTATCTTAACATGTTACAGATTGTAAACCCTGCAGTTTATACTTTTGCACAGCTAGGAAAGCTAAGAGGCCACAGTTAGCAAGATGAAATCTGCCTCCCGAAAAGCAGCCTAAGACCTGCAGACAGTGATTCTGTGCCCTAATCTTATCAGCATGTCCACCAACCCCCGGAGGAAGCCGCTGGATGTTAGACAAACTCCTTAGCCGAGGAAATGGACACGCTTGTTCTGATGAATGAGATTTCTTCACCCCTTCTGCTCCGCCACCAGTCTCACAGGATTTCCTGTGCACAGAGCACACTGGAGATAATGACACTGGGCCAGGGGTCATGGTTATGGTGCTTCCGGAAGCTTCCGGATCCAGAGCACAGAGAAATACGGGCCTTCAC